CCCACAAAACAGTGAAAAGCCCATCTCCATCCTCTGTATAATTGCTTATAGATATCTGAAAACAATTTTCAAATCCCCCCACAGTGCTCAAACCTTACCTGTTCCTGCCCAAGGCAGTCTGTACCATGTTCCTGCCCACACCTGCCCCATGCTCATTAACAGCGCTGCTCCAGACCTGGTCCCAGCCACAGCCCTGACCAGTACTGCTCAGTTCTTCCCACCTCCAGCAGTTCCCTGGGTATCACATGCCCAGCCAGTCAGGGGGGAAGCTGCAGCCAGGCAGCTCCTGCCCCAGCATACAGGACTCTAGCCCCAGCTTCTGGCCACCTTCCATCCACTTGGCCCACCCAGCATAAGTAGCCACACTAGCTGGGGCTGGGTGGGAGTGGGTGGGACTCAGCCCCATGCAGAGTGCCATGGGGGCAGCTGCGGGTCAGATACAATCAACTGGTGGGCTGGATCTGGCCCGTGGTCCATATTTTGTCCACGCCTGCTGTAGGGGATACAATAGAAGAGCTGCCTCTTAGTCAGCAGTTCTTATCTCCAAAGGTTTATCAGAAGACCTTTTTATAGATTTGAAGTATCATTGATTTCAGAGAGATAGCCCAAGTAAGCTATATTGCTGCTATAGAATTCTGCCTAAGAGGAGAAAGGGCTACCAGTTGCCACTTACAATGATGTCTCCTCCTCTGACAAACTGTAGGCGGGCCTGAAAGACAAGGATGTCCAGAAGGTAGATGAGGTCACAGAGATAGTCCATAAGAAGCCAGTAATGGATGTTATCTGGTGTCTGGTATGGAAAGGTACAACGGACTGGAATCAGCCAGCAGTTCCAATTCCAGGCCATTACAACAAAGAACAGCCACAGCACGTACATCAGATCTAAGCAGAGGAAAGCAAAGGTGAGAAAAAAGGAGTCAGCAAGTCTTCTCAAATATTCACAGGCTGAGTTCTGCTAATACCATGTCCTGTTTCAAAGCTGCCAAAGATCTAGTGCACAGCAAAAGTAACACCTTCTGAAAAGTACCTCTCAGAAGATTTCTGAGTTCTGTCACCAATGGCACTTGATCAGAAATACCTGCCTACTGCTAACAGGATTGGCCTTATGTGTGAATGAACTGGGCACTAAAATGATGGGTACCAAAATCTGCTAAATTCTCAGCACTCTACCTTAAGAATTAATTTCTAATTTAATTATTTCAAGGTTACTTATTTCTTTGGCTATGACAGCAGGCTCTTGGAGAGAGGCGATTCTTAGAAATGGGTGAGGTATGGGAGGGAAGGGGTTGGTTTTCCAGGGATTTTTCACAGTGGTCTAACCAATTTTTTGTTAGATAAAAGGGCTAAAAGTACTTTGGCATGTTGCCACACACTGACTGAGAAACTTCCTACAGTCACAGCTGTGGAAGAAAACCTTTAGCTACCAACCATATCTAAAGAAAAGTATTGCTTTCTTTTGCACTTCCAAAAGAAAAAATCCAGTCATAGGCACATCCATATGCACATTAAAATTGTTCCTTTCTTCTTTCCCTGGTTTTCTTCCCCCTTTCCATGACCTCCTTCCTTTTCTCCTCTCATTCCTTCCTTATAGTTCTCTCATTCCTTTTACATTCCTGAAGACAGGGGTAGTCTATCTCAACTAAACAATAATTTTCAGTTACTCACTGGTGAGAGGGTCTATGCTACTTGGGAACTGGTAATTCTTCAAGATGTCAAACCAGGGACGGCGTTTGAATTTGCAGCAAAGCATCTCACAGTAATGCTCCTCCTCTTCAACTTTTGCAGCTTCAGGTTTTAATTCAGCAGGGGGTGGAGGCAGTGGTTCTGGAGGCTTTTTCTTGGCAGGGGCTAGGAGAATCCATAGAAACATTGAAAACAGTGCAAATTTTTGCCAAACTACTGGTCTTATATTTGTTTTCTGATCTTTAAGTGTCTATTAAAATGGCCACCTTCATGAAAGGACACTTTACATTAACAGTAAGGAGTTCTTGTTCATGGCTTCAGGCTACCTTCATAGACCAGCCTGTCATAAAGACCTAGAAGTATCTCAGCTTTCATATCAAACCACTCCTGTGTCTTTAACAACAGGAATAACAAAATATATGCAGCCTCTTCGTGGTGAAAAATTCAAAACACTGTTAAGCTAACAATATATTTAGTGTTACAACACTCCTTTGAGTCATGTAGGGGTTGTTACTCCATTTTATACTTGGGGAAGTGTATAGAGGTATTAACCTGAGATGCTCACTAGTCTATTGCAGAATAATGAACAGAATCCAGGTCTCCCAAATCTTTCCTCTGAGCTTTGGTCAAGATGACCACCATCCCTCCTTTTGTAAAGGGTCAAGATTGCCAGTTATGGCACTTTGTATGGGGAACAAATGGGGAGTAGGGACTAAAGTACATTTTTTTTGCATAAAGGATTAGACTGAAATTGCCAATCATTTCACTGAACTCTGCTCCAACAGTATTACTGATATACACAAACCATCTAATCCAAACACATCTGTTCAATAATTCCCTTTTGGAATATATCCCTTTGCTATTCTGGAAGACCAGCTTTCAATGTACAAACTCAAATAATTGCTTTTGTTCCTTGGGCTTTATAAAGCAACAAAAACTATCTGTGTTGCTACAATTTCTGTCCTCATTGACTTTCATCCTTTGACCCACATTATACCCATCACCTAGGAGCTTCCAACTCAGCTCTAACTCACATGCCACGGGGCTTTCATCTTCAGAAGAAACATCTGGGTCAATCAGCTTCTCCTTCACTTTTTCAGTCCTGTCCTTAAAGAGCTTCACTAGCTCCTGCAGCCGGTCATTGATGATTGCACTGCTCTGGCTAGTTGGTGAACCCATGTGATCTGGCATACTGTAGAGAAACCAACACAGAATTTCCTAATTGGTGGAGGGAAGCAAGGGATCTGTTCCAAGATCTATTTTTAAGCTGCAGCTCCTCTTACTTAGAATTTAGCCCTGCCAGGGTTGCCATTGAATATGTTATCATATCACACATAATCTTGTATAAGTTCTCAGATTTCAGTCAATGTCACAGGTTCATGAAGTACAGAAGTTTCAAAGGGCCGCTACTAAAAAAGACTTGGAAATTCCTCAGATCAAAGGCTGCTATCTGTCATGTATCTCTGTGCTTCTGATACTAGGAGAAGGTTTTGGTTGTGTAACATCAGATGGAAAAATGGGGGAAAGTCCAGGAACACCTAGGGTCCAGCTTTTTGGAACTTATTTTTGCTAAAAATTAGGTCAGGTTAAAATTAGATTGCATTATCTGACATAACTGCAAAGTCAAGTTTAACGTATGTGTAGACAAATACCAGCCATGTTTAACTTAATGTTAATTGCTCATTGTTCATCCTAAAGATCCTACATGGTTAGCTGATACAACAGTCCCTATCTATATGGATTGCTAAATCCTACTTAAAAATGAGTTAGTTAAAATAACTCCTCAATGTCTTTTATTGCACTATAATATTCTCTGGGAAGGAAGAACCAGCAGCATACCTACAGGCTGGGGAACTCCCTTCTCATCAGTGCAGAGGCAGAAAAGGATCTTGGAGTCATCATTGATGCCAAAATGAACATGGGCCGACAGTGTGGGGAAGCAGTCAGGAAAGCCAACCATACCTTATCATGCATCCACAGATGCATCTCAAGCAGGTCCAAGGTGATCCTCCCCCTCTATGCGGCACTGGTCAGGCTGCAGCTGGAGTACTGCGTCCAGTTCTGGGTGCCGCACATCAGGAGGGATGTGGACAACATGGAGAGGGTCCAGAGGAGGGCCACTCGCATGATCAGGGGGCAGCAGGGCAGGCCCTATGAGGAGAGGCTACAGGACCTGAACCTGTTCAGCCTCCAGAAGAGAAGGCTGAGGGGGGATCTAGTGGCCTGTTACAAACTAGTCAGAGGGGACCAGCAGGCATTGGGGGAGTCCCTGTCCCCCCAAGCACTACCGGGAGTGACTAGAAATAACGGTCACAAGCTGGCAGAGGGTAGATTCAGACTAGACATCAGAAGGTGCTACTTCACGGTCAGGGTGGCTAGGATCTGGAATCAACTTCCAGGTGAAGTGGTGCTGGCTCCTACTCTGGGGGTCTTTAAAAGGAGGCTGGATGAACACCTTGCTGGGGTTGTTTGACCCCAGTACTCTTCCCTGCCATGGCAGAGAGTCGGACTTGATGATCTGCTCAGGTCTCTTCCGACCCTACCAACAATGAAACTATGAATACAAGCTGGCGATGGTCCTTCTCAAGACTGCTCCATTTGTAGAACATCATAAGGAGATCCAACACTAAGTGTATGTGATAAATATATTCCCTTTGTATTCCACAAGGAAGAAACAGGATGGCTGTGTGGAATCAATAGAAGTTGGCAGCACACCATCTCTCTAATGCTCTTCAAATTAAAAATGCAACTCCTCTTCATATTGAACCAAGTCTTAAAATCATAAGAATACAGGGCTGGAAGGGACCTCATGAAGTCATCTAGTCCAGTCCCTTGCTCAAGGCAGAATCATCCCACTCAAGTATCCATCTAACTTGCTTATTAAAATTTCCAAGGATGGAGATTCAATAACCTCTTAGGTAGCCTGTTTCAGTACTTGACCACCTGCATAGACAGAGATTTCATTCTAATCTTCAACCTAAATTTCCTCTGCTTTATTTGATGCTACTGCTCCTAATCCAGTCCTCTTCTGCCACAGGGAATAGTCTATCTCAATGATTGTTAACCAGGATACCATGACTCCCTGGGATGCCGCAAGATCTTTTGAAGGGTGTCATGAGGTGTGAGAAAATAAGCAGATAAATGCAGACTCAGACTCCTCCCTGCTTGGCTGCTCTCCCGTCCTCACTGCCCAGCCCCTCTCCAGACTCAATAAAGGTAGTTCTTTCAACCTTTCCTCATAAATCCTGAGTTTCATAAAAGACTCAAGTCTTCTAGTGATGCTTATGAAGATGGCAATATTTGGCAATGCATAATTTAAAATAAAATAGATATTAAAATCAACTTTAAAAGGGGTTCTTAGATCTTTGATTCAAAACTATGTTATTTTTTCACCACATAGTACATGTTGTATGATTTCGGATGCAAAAGAACCAAGTCAGTAGTAATAATTAGAACATTTTTACCTAATTACATGCAGAAATAAAGGAGCAGTTTCTACTCTGGCAAATGCATGCTTATTTCCATATTCACTGCACACTCCAAGAACTGCACTTGTACATCTTAATAACTAAACTGATTAGAAAGTGGCTACATAAATCTGGGTTTCTCATTTCAGAAGGTTACCTTCCTTGCCAGTCTCTGGATGGGGATGGCAGTGGAGAGGTAAAAGTGAGTTCCTCCAGGGTGTCATCACGGGATTCGTGCTTCTTCCTAAAGAAAAAAGTAACACCTGATACTTAGCAAATGGAAGCCAACACTCTCCCTTCCCCTCTTGCTTCCTTTGAATTTATCTTCATGTTCTTCTGCCTATTTCTTTTTTCCTGGTTCTCTCCCTATTTTAGGGAAAAATATAAATAGAAAATTAAAAGCAAGATGATGATCTTAGGAAGAGGAATAGTCAGAAGGAAAGTTTTCTTTGCCCCTCCTTTCACTTGCATACATACATATAAATCTCTGTGCAGGCTTTTAAAAAGGAAACAGAAGATCAAAATGGTTTACTACGTAAAACTACAGAACTTCACAGAAAGCTGCAGTCCTGGATCTTGCGTTTCAGCCAAAGAAAGGCAGTCCATAAATGATGCCTGTTGAAAATATATCATTATCCTTATGAAAGCAACAACTTGGTAGGTAATTATGTTAAACATAATATTGCTGACTCTTCTTATTATTAATATTTTTTTCTTCCCTATCAGTGTCAGACAAACATTTACAAATGTTTCCCTCTTTGGGGAAGAAACTCTCTTCTAGGTATCACCTAACACAACAAGAACCTGATCTCTCTCAAGGCCTCTAAGCACTAATGTAATGCAAATACACTAGTGCGCGGCTGCCACAACATCTGAATGGGACCTGGGGGTCACAACCAACCAGAAGATGAATATGAGCCAAGAGTGTGATGAAGTCACCAGCAGAGCAAATAGAACTCTGGTGTGTATCAGCTCATGTGTTGCCAGCAGATCCAGAGAGGTGCTTCTCCCCCTCTACTCAGCACTGGTGAGGCTGCAGCTGGAGTACTGTGCCCAGTTTTTGGCACTGCACTTCAAGAAGGATACGGATAAGCTCAAGAGGGTGCAGAGAAGGGCCACCCACATGATCAGAGGCCTGGACAATAGGTCCTATGAGGAAAGACTAAGCTTCTTCAGTGCGTGTAAGAGTAGGCTGAGAGGTGACTTGATAGCCACCTATAAGTATGTCCAGGGAGAGCACCAAGATCTGGGGGAGCAGCTCTTCAGGAAAGCACCTCTTGGGAAGATGAGGACCAATGGCCACAAACTAACAAAGGGAAGATTTAGACTGGACATAAGGAAGAACTTATTCTCTGTAAGGTTAACTAAAACATGGAACACACTCCTGGCAGACATGGTACCATCGCCATCCTTGGAAGTGTTCAAGAGGAGGCTGGATAAGCACCTCGTTGAGCTAGTTTGACCTCATTAACCTCCTGCCTATGGCAGGGGACCAGACTTGATGATCTTCCAGGTCCCTTCCAGTCCATTGATTCTATGAAATAATAAATCTTCATCCTCATCATAAAATAAAACCAGCATGGGGTTGCTCAGCGTATCATTTGGTAGTAACCTGCACTGTCATTTAGGAAACCTGGTTCTAGAGCAACCATAGGAATACATGTATGCAAAAAGAAGAGGTCATTATAATACCAGAGAAGAAAGTTCTCAGTCTCTGAGAAGTGGGTTTGCCATGGTTAACAGGTGTTAGAGCCCACTATAACAGGCTGAACAAAATACAGTTACAAGCATAGACACAGCACACTAGTTTGCATTTGTATGTCCTATGTGAGAAATCTGGTTACATGAGGAATGAGATGACCCCCTAAGTTACACAGATCATAACGAGTGGCTAAGCAATATTCAGACAAACTCTTCTTATGCAGGTCATTCCTAAAATATATGAAAAATACCCTCCTCATTTTATGCCTTGGTCAAAATTCACTCCAGGGAAACCTGAGTGAATCCCATACCCCACTTTTCCTAGCCATCTCTGCTTGTAGGGACAAAAAACCACAAAACTTTGATTTAAAAGACAGTGAGGTCCAAAATTCTCTCTCAGGTCATTTCAGTAGATGTTTCAGAGCAGGGGTGTCCAACCTCTTTGAATGTGGGGCCAGATCATGAACTTTTTATCACCCAGTGGGCCAGGGAGCCATATTCAAACACCCTCTGTCCTGGGTCAGGGAGACCCTACCTGTGTAGCCCTACTGCACCTGCCTGTTACTGCAAGGTTCATGGTAGCTGCTGGTGGGCAGGGGCAGGAGGGACCCATTCTGCATCCAGCCAGCTACTGCCCCAGAGACTGAAGGGGAGAAATAAATAGCTCCACATCCCCATCCCCTGAGCAGCGCAGCCCCACAAGCTGGCGCTGCCCAAGGGGGGCTGCAGTGAGGCAGCCGCTGCACCGTAGCCCCTCACCTGCTCACCCACATGACCCTGCATACCGTGGTGCCTGGCCACCTGCGCACACAGCCCCAGTGGCCTCAGCACTGCAAGCCTGAAGCGCAGGGTGCGGCAGACACCAGATCCCACCGCCTCACCCCACAGAAGTCATGCCAGGACCCCGCCTGCTGAGGCCCCCCCAGGGCTGCCCTGCTGACTGCCTGGACCAGGCACTGTGCCCAATTCCTGCCCCACAGCCACCGAGCCCGGTGGGTCCCCAGAGGCAGGCAGGATGCCGGGGGCAAGGGGCCAAGCCGGAGAGGAGTAAAAGTAGGTACTGTCGCCAGCTCATCCCGTCAGGCACAGCTGGGGCAGCCCTGTGCCACGCCACGCAGCCCTTGGGGCGGCAGCAGCGGGACCCAGCTCACATGACGAGCCTGGCCCCATGGGGGTGAACAGCTCCCCTCCCTTCCCCCACCTGCCTGTCCTGAGCGAGGGACCTTGGGCCTCAGAAAATGGCTTGGCAGGCTGCACGGCGGTCTGCGGGCTGTATGTTGGACAAGCCTGTTTTAGAAGTAAAACAAACAATAACTTGAACCAGATTCTCTCTCTCTCACGTGTGGTGACATCAAGACTCATGCAGTTGATAGTTCTGAGCTAATTGATAAGACTAGAGAGCTGAAAACAAGGTGCACTGGGCAGATTTAAATGTTAGATGCAAGTAATTCCTGTAGCAAGTACCTAAATGTATCAGGTGAATCTTCACTCGTCTCCTCATTATATAAGGATTAATTTCAGGCTCAGCAAAGTCTTAAGCTTGAACTGTACTTTGGATTAAAAAAAGTAGTTAATAGTTTCCTGGCAGAACAGGACCCCAAGTAAATGAAGCATATTAAGATACAAACATCACATTATTACTTATCTCTAGGGAAAATAAAAATAAACAGGTGCAATGGGCATAGAAGCAACATGAAGAAATGGATGAAACAGTAGTTTCCCCAAAGTGCAATGGTGGACACTAGGGCTGTGCAAAGCTTCAGATCACAATTCGGAGATGATTCGGATGATCTGGAGGCCAAATCTATGAATCCAAATCAAATCGCTGGAAGCTTTAGGCTTTCTGAATCGATTTGGAGCTTCCAAATAGATTCAGAGATTGGGCCATAAAGTATAATGGGGAATCAATGAAATATCTATAACTTTGTTGTCTTTTGGCTGATTCAGATGAAACCTGCTGAGAGCATGATGCATGCCATGGTTCAAGGTGATCAGTGCAGGGGTTTCTGGGAAACTGCACCTCAAAATCCCAAAAGCAAAACTCATGTCGTGTGTGTGTTAAGCCACAATGGGTTGAAAACTGCAGTGGTGGTAGCTCTAATGAAGGCCATCATGCCTGCCAAGTTTCAAAGAGATAGGTGCAGGGGTTTCTGGGAAACTGTACCTCAAGCTACTGACAAGCAAAACTCATGTCACGTGTATGTGTTAAGCCACAGTGGGGTGAAAACTGCAGAGATGGTAGCTTTGCTGGGGCCACAAAGCCTGCCAAGTTTCAAGGAGATAGGTGCAGGGGTTTGGGGGAAACAGTATTGCAAACTGTGGACAAGGAAAACTCGTGAC